AATTTTTTGACAAAAAAGTTCTAATTACCGGCTAACCAGAAAAAAGGGTAAAAGTGTCAAAAACTACCGATAATTTGGATTTTACTGTAAAAAAAAATAAAGTTAAGAATTTCTTGTGAAATCGATGAAAATATTGGGACTTTAGTGTATATATCCCAATTTTATATTCAGAAATCTGTCATAATCAAAAATTCATATTCAGATAGATTGAAGATGAAAGTTCAAATTGTATTCAATAAACCTAATCAAGTTGGAATTGATGATAAAACTTGAAAAATCAAACCTTCAAAGTCAAAAATCGAAGCTCAAATCCAATCGAACCATGTGGCCGGAGTAGTAGCGTCGTCGTCGGTGCAACTGGAGGAGAACTTGTCACCGTTAGTATGGTTGGAGGTTGATCGTCAACGTCTATGAGGTCGAAGATGAACGAAGTCCTGTTGGACGCGATTTTTGAGAGAATGACAATTTGATTATTGTCAAGTTGGGTTAAAAGCACGTATTTCTTTTAAGTAAATTGACAAATGACCAGAACAATTAAATAAGTTTGATAAATACCTTTAAAACATTATTTTGGTAAAAAAAAATTGGCAAATATGTAGTTTTCGTTTATAGATTAATTTATAAGTTTTTATAACGTTTTAATTGTAGTCTATTTTAGATTTTTAATATTTATTTATTCTTAAATTTTTACAATAAATTTGAACATATCATCTTTTTGTATAAACTTATAAATTTTCTTATATTTCATATTGTAAACATTTACATGGACTCTTTTAAGACTAATAAGAAGATAAAATTCATACATTTGTACACTACATTAGTCAGTCTAATTTTATCTTCTACAAATGCTATTAACCCATGTGCTAAAGGTATGTTCATTATATATTTTACGATTTTGTTTATCAATATTTTTAATCTCTAATATAACTATCATATATATATATATATATATATATATATATATATATATATATATATATATATATATATATATATATATCCTTATGCAGATTCAAATAGGAAAACCTATCATGTTCAAAGCTAGAGAAAAAAGAATAATAAGAAAGTTATACTTGTTGGATTAGGTGTCTAATCACATAACTATAATTGGTATGTACTTGAATTGATAGTAATAATGTCTTTTTGAGTTGCCTTCAAACCTGACAATTGGATATGATAACTGTTAGAGAGAGAATAATGATTTATTAATTTATTACTTGGTTAATAAATTAATTAAAAATAAAAATAAATGATTTATTAATGTATTATGGAAATAATATATTAATTAGAAATCATATTGTTTAATTAATATCTAATCAAGAATTAATTTGGAATTAATTTTGGGATTAAATGAATTAATTGAAACTGCAGGGACTAAAGGTGACAATGATCAATAGTTAAGCATTGGGCAATTCTGGAACCTCCCTAAAGGGGGTGAGCGAAATCTAGATGCTCCTAGGGTTTCCTTGGGCTCTAAGGGTCCCTGGATGCCTTAGGGAGGAGGTGAATGGATTAGGGTTATCTTGGATATACCTGCCTTATCCAATAGATTCCTTATCACCTATATGGACCCCTATAGGGTTTGATTTCGTCTACCACTTGATTCCTTAGAGGAATTCTGAAAATTTCCACCATTCTCTCTATAAAAATTGTTCCTTGGTTGCTAGGTTTGTTTGTGAGCCACTAGAGGCACGACACTTGTGGAGCTTGCTAACAAAGGTCTTACAAGCAAGGTTTTTAGATTGTTATTACAATATAACAATCAAGGTATGTACACATATCCCTATTATATGAATTTTGATTATAATAGATAGAACCTAGGGTTTCTTCTTTTGTTTTCAAATTTGCATGTTCAATTAGAGAAAACTTAGATCCAATCAATTTAGGGTTGCATGCACACATAGGAATGTATGTTTTGCTCAAAATCCATCAGTGGTATCATAGCCAGGTTTAGTTTTCTATTGAATATGATGCAATTGTGAATTGTTCAACAAATAAGGGAACATATTTGAGACACCCATTCCTTACACCCCCTCCAGTGATTCTTCCTGACCCATGTTTTCTTCAACTTGAAAAGTTTAAGGTTACTCAAGCCCTGTTGGCATGTAAACACCTACATGAAAATTTTATGTGTGGACATGTTCTAAAAATGAAGTCGTACACTGACAGATTAGGAATGTTGGGTGTCGTTTTCCCAAAGAAGTTGGTTGTTGACCATGGGCGGACGCAGGATTTCATAGTAGGGGTTGCACGGGAAGATTAGGGATTGCACGATAGTAGAAAAAATAAAAATTTTAAAAAATTTTGAAATTTTTTCCACTGCGGCCTGAAAATTTAGGGGTTGTCGGTGCCACCCCGGAACACCCCTAAATCCGCCCTTGTTGTTGACTTGGTTCTTCACTCGCTTCCTGAGTCATATAATTGGTTCATTAAGTACTACTATATGATTGACCACAACATAACCCTAATTGATCTAACATATTTGCTAATTGTTACTGAAGTAGAAATGCTAAAGTGCACTGGTCAAGAAAATTTGTTTAAAGGATTTGTCTCCCAAAACTCCATGGACAATATCAACAATGGTAGTCCAGAAAAGGTTTCTCTTCCCAATGGAATAGGATCGACCACGGTCAAACCGTTTGACTATATGGTAAAGAGAAAGACAAATTCTGAGATAGTTCCATGTGCCATCCAAAAAGGTCCACGTGTTTCTATGTCCAATTGAAGGGACATTGGATACGAAGCTATGCAGACTACCTAAAGATCTTAGAGATAGTAAAGTCAAGTTGTGTGACTCTACTTCAGGTACATCCACTACATATCTCCATTATTTTAAGTTCCTATTCATAGATTCTTAATACATGATGTGATAGTCACATTTTTATGTTTTGCAGAATCTAAGAGAAAGAAGGAAGCTTAAAAAGAGTAAGCTGAATATGATTGTGAAAGATGTATCTTGACCGCATAGTTCGATGATCATATTTTTGTGCTGCTGCTTTGGAGTTATGATAGATTTCTTAGGAAATATCTAGAAACATAGTTTTCATATAGTTGCATTGTAAGGACAAAATTTTCCGCTCATTATCAATAAAGTGAATTTTTGGTTTACTTTATGTTTTCTTGCAATGGCATTTATGAAAATTGGTGATGATATTTCTATTATTAGCAATGTTAAATATGAATTTGACTCTTAGTTTTGTTGTTTGTGGAAATTTCATAATCAACCAAGTGAAAAGGAATTCTCATCGCCCAAGTTTTAGTTGGATAGAAACTTGGAGTCATACAATTTGAATTGTGTGGTGTATGAGAACCTTGATCGTTGGAAGATCATGACCAATTCATTGATCACATGTTTATGTGAATCAAGTGAAGGACTAAAGGATCTAGTACACATTGATGTGAAATATTTAGATCCACCACAAAGGACATAAGTCTATTCGTCATGATTTATTGATGGTTCAGTAAATATGGTTATAATTATAAGATTAAGTGTAATTCTGATTCTTTGAAAGGTTTCAAAGAATGATAGAATGAATATGAAGAATCTATTAGGCAGAAAGATAAAGGTTTCTCCAATCTTTAAGGAAATGAGAGTACTCTAGTATTATGTTTTATGATCATCTTAATGATTATGGAACTATGTCATAATTGATTCTCTAAGGACATCTTAGTGAAATTGTCTCAACTAAGAAGAGAAACCAGATATTGCTGAAACAGTTTAATAAAGAGATGAATCATACTTCGTTATTAAATAAAATTTTAGAGTCACACTTTAGTAACTTCAAATCGTATCTTGAAGCTTATTTCAAACTAAGTAGCTTTATAACACCTCATGAAATTTGGAGTAGAAATGTTTTCTTACTCTGGCACATTTGAAATTGGTAGTTGTGATGTTTTGGATAAAACAAAGATAAACTAATACCAATTAAATGAAGTGTTATCTTGATAAGAACCTACAATGACTTTTGAATGTTTGTTTTCCCTTGTTGAGGAATGTTCCTTAACAAAGAAACTTATATATCAAGAAGTCAGTGGCAGTCTTAATGATCTTGAATAGTTTCAGGAGTCAATCAAGAACAAACCTGTTAGTTAACACTATCACATGACTTGAGGTTGATTGCTTATCGTGTTAAGTTGACACATTGTTGTTTCTGTGCACCTTCCAGTTAAGTTAACTATGCATGTGAGTTCTTTAATTCTCATTTGACTGAAAAAGGTAGAGCACTTTGGTCAATGATAATACATTGATCAATAAGGATGAGCTTCTTAATAACTTGGAAGCATTGGTAGGCCCATGTGCTATCAGAAGACAAGAAACTAAGGATAAGCAAAGTTTAGTCCATTAAAAGAAAACTAAATTTGATTTTGTTTTGTCATGAACCTTATCTTATGATTAGAAGTTAGAAATGATAAGATTTACATGAATATGGACACATACACCATAAAATCTAGATGGCAAAAGGTTTCACTCTAATTCATGAAAATGACTGTGAGGAAACACTTTCGCTAGTAGAATTTAGATCTATTTAAAATCATGGTTTGCAGTTATGATAATTGTGTTCTCAAAATTCGAATATGATTACGGCATCCCTTTTCATAGTTCAAATTGTGAGAAATGGCAAAGGATTGTTTGAACATTTAAGACTTATTGTTGTAAGTTTAAAGCACACACATATGCACTCTAATGAAGGTGTATGAGCTTGAGAAGTCTAGATGAAGACTTATCAAAGCATCACATATCAGAAATATGAACTTTAGTGAGAAGTCAAGAGCATTGATTTCTAGAAGTCCGGTTGATTTTTGGGTACATGTCAAAGATAGCGGGAACATAATCGTTATGTAGGAGTGAGCATAGTTGTTGTTAGGCCTGTCAAAACATGCCACGACACGACAAGAAAAAGTGACACGAAACGAAATTGGGACGAAATTGAAATTCGAATTCGTGTTAGAAAAAAAAATCACGACGTCGTGTCGTGTCGTGTTCGTGTTAAAAAAATGGCATGAAATTAGCACGAAATTGGCACGTAAGTAACACGACTCAAACACGATTAAAAGCCCACATATAACACGACAATAAAAACGAATTTGACACGAGATACAACCGACTTACGCTTTTATTAAATAATATATTTGAATATATATATATATATATATATATATATATATATATATATATATATATATATACACGTTTAAGTGAAGCGTCTTTTGGTTTAATGACTTTATAAAGTTCCAAGAAAAGATCCCTCGGTTCTTCAATCTTCACTCTTCCGACTTCCGATTCATATTCCATCGACTCTTCAATCTCCATCTACGATTATAAATTTCATTAATTGCAGCGCAGATTGTTGTTCCTTGTTATCAATCAAACCCTAATTCGAGCACAAACACTGTAGAGCACATCAACCGACTTAGCTCTTCAGAAATCAGAAGTCAGAACATAGCGATTGGCCGATTCCTTCATCACAAGTTCACGATATCGATCATAGCGACTGGGCGATTTCTTTTCTTCTTCATCAATCATCATGGTAATTTTTTTCATCAATCAAAATTCCTTACTTTGTGTTCTTTTTTAGTTTAGGTTATCGATCATATAGCTATATTTTCTGATTTTCTGCTTGATTTTTACTGCCATTATTATCGATCAAACCGTTCTGTGATTCCTTGTTATCGATCAAACCCTAATTATCGGTCAAAATTTCTTGCTGTGTGATTTGCAATAAATCAGAACACACAGGAAGGAACAGAACCAATCTTGACTTTTACCGCCATTATTGCTTTTACACTGATTATCCCCAAAATACCTTAAACCTTCTTTCCAAACTCAAGCTTAACATATTACCTTCTATCTACAAATTATGTGGTTGTGTTTTTTTCTCAAGAACATGGATGCAACAGAACCTGTTATTTCATTATGTTCTGGAAGTAATGCTTATGTTTTTTTGTATAGAAATTATATGTGTATGTGCATTGTGCAGCAGAACCTGTTATTTCATTAACTGTTATTTATGCTTTGCATCTGTTATTTAAGCTTTGAATATGTTATTTCTTTCTGTTATTTCAGTAATGATTATGTTTTTTGTATAGAAATTATATGTATATGTGCATTGTGCAGCAGAACCTGTTATTTCATTAACTGTTATTTAAGCTTTGAATCTGTTATTTCTTTCTGTTCAGATTTCTTTCTGTTATTTCTTTTTGTCCAGATAATATAGAACCTGTTATTTGTTTCTGTCCAGATAATATAGAACCATATTTATCAGCAGAACCTGCTGTAGTTATGAAGAAGGCAAAGCTTGATTCAACAATAGAACCTGCTGTAGTTGTGGCTCCACATGTATTTTTACTACCAATTTAACTTATTGAATTTCATCAAGTTCACTACTCTTTCAATTCATTACATACCTAAATATTATACTTTTTTTTGAAGGATGTTGATCTTGAAGAAGATGACATCAATGTGGTTGATGTAGATGTTAAAATAAAAGGTGAAGAAGTTCATGTCAAATCAGAAAGAGAACGATGGTCGAAGGTATGAAAGTTTTTTGAAAGACTTCCAATTGGTAATGATGGAAGGGAAAGGGCAAAATGTAAGAGATGCTCAAAAAGATAAATCTGTGAAACAAAAACTGGAACAGGAAGCTTGCGAGGTCACATAAGAAAGTGTCCTAGGAGAGATAACAGTGATATAGCACAAATACTTATTTTAAAATCTGGTGGTTCAGTGTCTATGAATTCCATAGTTTTTAAACCCGAAAAATTCCGTGAGCTTGTGAGTGAAGCTATTGTCAAGCATGATTTACCTTTTAAATTTGTGGAGTATGAGGGGATTAGAGAAGTAATTCGGTACTTAAATGAAAATGTTGTCACTTATACTAGAAACACAGCTAATTCAGATGTTGTGAGCTTGTTTAACAGGGAAAAAATCAGACTTAAAAAATTACTGGAGTTAAACCAGGGTAGAATTTCTTTAACTTCTGATCTGTGGTCTTCAATTAATACGGATGGTTTTTTGTGTGTGACTTGTCACTTCATTGATGAGGAGTGGAAATTGCAAAAAAGAATTTTAAGCTTTCAATATATGCCACCCCCACATAGTGGCGTATGCTTAACAGAAACGATTTCCACGTTATTGACCGATTGGGGGATTGATAAAAAATTGTTTACTACCACATTAGACAATGCATCAAGTAATGATACTTTTGTCAATCTACTAAAAGGTCAATTGTGCAATGAAGGTGCTCTTCGTAGTAATGGTGATTATTTTCATATTCGGTGTTGTGCTCATGTGCTAAATTTGGTTGTGCAAGATGGTTTGAAAGCTATTGATGAAGGGATCGTTAAAATACGAGAGTCTATCAAGTATGTGAAGGGTTCTCAAGCAAGGAGAAAGAAATTTATTGATTGTGTGAAATATGTCAATTTGAATCCAAAAACAGGTTTGCGTCAAGATGTTCCAACTCGATGGAATGCCACTTATCTTATGAGTGAAAGTGCTTTATTTTATCGATGTGCTTTCTTTCATTTAGCACTTGGCGATTCTAATTATTTTGATTGCCCAACTCATGATGAATGGGGTAAATTAGAAAATATTTTTAGATTCTTGGACTTTTTTATGAAGTTACGTGCATCTTTTCTGGAAACAAATACTCCACAGCAAAGTTATATTTTCCTTCTGTTTCTATGGTTGAAAAAACTTTAAAAGAAGAAATGATAAGTTTAGATAAGTTTATGAAGGAAATGGCTTCGAAAATGTATGAGAAGTTTTCAAAGTATTGGTCCGAGTATAGTGTGATTTTGGCAATGGCTGTAGTTTTGGATCCGCGTTATAAAATACAGTATTTATAGAAAAACTATACGGAAGCAAATCTTTTGAACCCATTGATCGTGTAAGGGAGAGATTATTTGATCTCTTTAAAGAGTACGTTCTTGATTCACACGTGTCTTGTAAAAGTTCAACAATATCAAGGGGTGATTCAAGAAAGGTTGTGCATGAGAAGAAAAGTGACACGGTGTTTAGTAAAAGCACGAGAGAGATGTTAAAGGTAAAAGAACTACTTATTAAATATTTTGTGATCTTAACTTAATGTATAATTTTATTCCTTTTAATAATTTTTTTTTCACAGGAGTTCACAACTTATGAGAGTACATAATTTGTTTTGTCTCAAAAGTCACAGTTGGAGATGTACTTAGATGAGTTGGAGATGTACTTAGATGAGCCAAGAAGTGACATAGATGAGGATTTAGATATTCTATCTTTTTGGAAAGCACATCAATATCGTTATCCAGAGCTTGCTTGTATGGCTCGGGATATTTTAAGCATCCCGGTCTCCACTGTAGCATCCGAATCTGCATTTAGTAATGGTGGTCGTGTTCTTAATCAATATCGAAGTTCTTTAAAGCATGACATTGTTGAGGCTATAATTTGTACCAAAGATTGGTTGTTTGCAACTAAAGGTATTTCTTTTTGTTACTTTCTGAAAATTTGAATTTCTTGTACTAATTAACTTTTTTTTTTTATTAATTTTATGTTATATTTTTTATTTTGTAGGTGATGAAGAGTTATCTTTAGAAGAACTTACCGATGATGTCATGCAAATGGATAACAAGGATACAAAAGTTGAGGACGTGTAGTACAATTTTATGTTTTTTTGGCGTGTTTCTCATTTTAAGCATGTATTAATTTGAGGATATTGGTATTTTTTTTGTTATTTTATCGTGTTGTCGTGTTTGTCGTTTTTTAAACATGAATTAATTAAAAAAAGAAAATTTTATGCTACTTTTGTTGTGTTGTCGTGTAAGTCGTGTTTGTCGGGTTTTTAATAAATTCGTGTTCGTGTTAGAAAAAAAAAACATGACGCCGTGTCGTGTCGTTTTCGGGTTATGCAAAAACAATTCGTGTCGTGTCGTGTTACGCAAATACACGAAACGACTGCACGAATTGACAGGCCTAGTTGTTGTGCTGGTGGGAGCATAGTAGTTATGCTTAGCGTTGTAAGTTGGCAATACTAATTGTAGGAACCAACGATTTTAGATTTGCAAGTTGAAAAGTTTGGAATTGTTTCACTATGATAAGCTTAGATGAAAAGGAACTCATACTTCATTTCAAATCTAAAAGTTTAGATTGAAATTTTAATGGAACTTAGTCTTGTACATATATGAATATCGTGTTGAAATGCTTCAACATAGGAAATTCGACATATGGAAATTTTATAGCAATATACTGATCAAGTATCATGTCTTTATGTAAGACATTATGTATCAAATCCCATATGCTTTAGATACAGGATTGATTACATATGCTATAATATTTACTTGTTCTGATTTTCCAAATTCCTAGGGTATTTAGAGGGATAAGGACCAGAACTGAATATGACAAGAGTTGTTAAAAAATTGTCAAGGACAATCTAAGGTTCGCTAAAGATTGGTTGCTTTTGGACAATTGGAAGTATAAATTTGGAAAGATCATATTGACATGTTCTGAGTGGAGATAACTTTTGTTCAGAGTTGATAGTCATATCGGAATATGGAAATGTTTTCGTAGTGGGAGTTGGTTATTATCTACATGTGAGTTAGAAACTTTAATGAAAGAAGGATGTTCAAGGAGTGTACTTTGAATTTGAGACTTCATTACCATGAAATTTTTATAGTAACAAAATTTTAATGGAACATTTTTTGATATCGTTGGCGAAGTCTTTGTGACTTTGAAGCCTCGACATCACAAAAGAAAATTGAATGTAAAGTTGGAATTCTAACACATATAGAAGTGATAAGAATTTGAAATTGTGAAATGAGCATCATTGGAATTATGTCTAATTGATATGTTCACAAAGGAATGACCATAGAGAGACATAGTATGCATGTTTATAACATGGCATGACTGATGTTTAAATTCAAGTGTTTAATTGATTAATCGAAACATTATACAATTGATAAAAGTCTAATTAATATGGTGGTTAAATAAAAGGAGTTTTATTTATTTTCAATAGTTTTGAGACCATAGTTAATTAGGTTATTATTGTGTTTCACTTCGCATGTTTTACTTCCCGAATAATTGGATTATTCAAAACATCAACAGTCAATCATACTTTTGAAAGTAAGTAGTGAATTAAAACTATCATGAATCGGACTATGGATTGTCTAAGGGGTTAGACATAACAATGGTTTGTTGCAGTATTCATGAGTACTTTTGAAATGAGGATTTAAGTGTTGAATTAACCCACACTCAGAGAATTACTTCATGGATTTTATCATGATTAATTTTGAGATGATAATGTCTTATATTATTGAAACGAAGACATATGGGTTGTTGTTTAAGAGTCAGTTGTGCATTGATAATACGAAAACACATCAGTAAGTTGATGTTATAAAACGTATTGTTGTGCGTGATTTGATAACTGAATAGTGCAAGCATATGAGATGAAGTTTATCCGTTCCTTTTTCCCTAAATGGAAAAAAGTGATATATGTGGGCCCCTCGATGATTTAATGATGACATCTAAAGTGCTTGGCCGAGCCTGGACTGAATTGATGTGTTCAATTAGTAATCTGTTATCAATCGTCATAAATCGGAAATCAGGAAACAAATATTAGACAAATAGAATGATTATAATCCATGTCTCATGTCCATACAATATCTTGTATAACGGAGGAATATTTGATCACTTATCTAAGGATATGTCACTGACTAGGTCAGAGTTTGATAGCGGCTTTTGGTAGCTACAATTTACTAGTCAAAATTTGAAGTTAAACTTTCAATTACAGTTATTAGACTTATACAAGTGGGAGACTGTTGGATTAGCTGTCTTAGCCCATAATTATAATTGGTATGTACTTGAATTGATAGTAGCAATGTCCTTTTGGGTTGCCTTCAAACCTGACAATTGAATAGGATAACTGTTAGCGAGAGAAGAATGATTTATTAATTTATTACTTGGTTAATAAATTAATTAGAAATAAAAATAAGTGATTTATTAATGTATTATGGAAATAATATATTAATTAGAAGTCATATTGTTTAATTAATATTTAATCAGAAATTAATTTGGAATTAATTTTGGGATTAACGGAATTAATTGAAACTGCAGGGACTAAAGGTGACAATGTTCAATTGAGCATTGGGTAATTCTAGAACCTTTCTAAAGGGAGGTGAACGAAATCTAGATGCTCCTAGGGTTTCCTTAGGCTTTAAGGGTGTCTTGGATGCCTCACGGAAGAAATTAATGGATTACGGGTATCTTGAATACACCTGCCTTATCCGATACCTTCCTTATCACCTATATAAACCCTATAGGGTTTGATTTCGTCCACCACTTGATTCCTTAGAGGAATTCCGAAAATTTCCACCCTTCTCTCTCTAAAAAGTGTTCCTTGGTTGCTAGGTTTGCTTGTGAGCCGTTAGAGGCGCGACACTTGTGGTGCTTGCTACCAAAGTTCTTACAAGCAAGGTTTTTAGATTGGTATTACAATATAACGATCAAGGTATGTATTTTAATCCATATTATGTGAATTTTGATTATAATACATAGAACCTAGGGTTTCTTCCTTTGTGTTCAAGTTTGCATGTTCAATTAGAGAAAACTTAGATCCAATCAATTTAGGGTTGCATGCACACATATGAATGTATGTTTTGCTCATTAGTACTTGGATAAAAAAAATGTATGGCCGAATCAATCCATACAACTTCATCTATATCACATGTTTTAAAAATGAAGGGAAACGGTAACTTACTTAATTGCTTTTACACTTTTTATGTTTCCTTTAAATATATAAATTAAAAATTCTTACATCATTTTTTATATCATCTCTTTATCAATATTAATCTTCATATAATATTAGAAAAATTATTTAAAATTTATGCATTTCTCATAACAATTTCTTTTTCCAGACAAAATCAAAGGAGTTGTCCATCAAAATAAAAACGTATTTGCATCTAAATCAAGTGCAAATATGTCAAAACAATCAACATTACAAACCCCTCCTTCACATCTAAATGTTAGAACTCCATTATCTAACATTTCGAATGAGAACTCATTTATTTTATCATTTCGTTTTATAATATATATTATTATTCTATCATATTTAACAATGTATACCTTCAATCTTCTTTTTCTCACTCATGCATATTTTCAATAACAATTTTCAATCACAGTTACCAAATATCAGATTGAATTCAAACGGTAACCTACTTAATTTCTTTTACACTTTTTATGTTTCCTTTAAATATATAAAGTACAAATTCTTACATCATCATTTTTTTATATCATCTCTTTATCAATATTAATCTTCATATAATATTAAACAAAATTATTAAAATTTTCTGCATTTCTCATAACAATTTTTTTTCCAGACAAATCCAAATGAGTTGTCTATCGAAATAAAAACGTATTCGCATCTAAATCAAGTGCAAATATGACAAAATAATCAACGTTACAAACTCCTCCTTCACATCTAATTGTTAGAAGTCCATTATCTAACATTTCCAATGATAACTCATTTATTTTACCATTTCATATTATTATTATTCTATCATATTTAACAATGTATACCTTCAATCTTTTTTTTCCCAGCCATGGGTGTTTCCAATAACAGTTTTCAATCACCGTTACCAAATATTAGACAATACTTTGTATTTTCAAATGGCATCACATCCAACAAATCATCTACAATAACATCAAGATCATCTTCGGTCGTGTTAACTAATCCAAATCATAAAAATCAAATAAAAAAAAATGCAAATTTATCTCCAATTCCAATAATCGGTCTGAGATCCGATGAAGACAACAATGATGACCAAAATGATCAAAACATACACACCGGTATATCAAAAGGTAATTTTTTACAAATACAATATTTACATTTGTTCATTCAAACCTTTTCAATTATATACACTTACATGATATGCTTTTTTTATGTCAATCTTAATTAACAAATTATTTAGATCATGATGATCAGAGTGTTGTATGCTAAACATGTTTTGCGAAATTATGGAAAGATCAATCTGTCCGGTAAAAAAAAGAATATTAATTATTCTCTATATTGTGCTTATGGCAAAGTTGAACTACCAGAGTTAAATAATGCACCTCCAAGTTATGAAAATCTTTATAAATATGGAGATTCTAAAAGCAAACACTTCATGGAGAACATTCATCGTTACAGTTCTATGTTTTCTTTTATGTCAATTGATGGTAAAATTGATTCATCAGTCAATAGAGGAAATGTTCCATGTATTTTTAGACTTAGTGGTCAAAATTATCATAGGATTGGAAGCCTTTTACCAGAATAGGGATCTAAACCAAAATTCTCTCAGTTGTACATATATGATACCGATAATGAGACCGCAAATAGACCAACATGTATTGGGTATACTTTTCACATCTATCTAATTAATAAATATCTTATTGATTAGCATTAGTTTCTTCATTGATCCTATGTTTATATGTTCATGTTACTTGAACTGGAGAAAATCAATGATCTACATCTAATTTGTCTGTCGTTGATAATGATATTATACAATATTTGAAGTTGATGTTAGATTCAAATAACGTATTGGTTCAGTATTATAGAATGGTTAAAGATTGTTTTCATGAAAACCCTCATGTTGATATCAAGTTGAGAATTATTGGAAGAAGGGAA